TCCAGGATTCCCTGCGTAGGCTGCTTCAGACGCATCCCCTATACCATTAATGGTCCCTCATCTGACAGTGACTGACCCTGCCTCACAGCTGTGCAGGGGAGAGCCCTGTCGGTGAGGCCGCGAAGGCGGCAGGTGCCTGTGCTCTCTGTGGGGTCGGGGAGGGGGCCGCTCCCAGGTCAGCTGCAGGCTGGTGGCCTGGGAACTCACTGCATTCCTGTTAGATTTTCCTATGTTCCGGAGCCTGGAAAAGGCCACAAACCTCAAGCCAGTGGGAAGGAGCTGGGAGCTCACCTTTGGAGACCTCCCACCCATTCTAGGGGGTGGGAGGTGGGTGGCGGCACTGGGCTCTCACCCCCAAACAGAGCAAGGATGGACTGTGCGCTTGCAGTGGGCTCGTGGTGGGGTGCCACTGTGACCCGTGTGACAGTGACATGTGACCTCATTTTTGCTGCCCTTCATTTTAGATTTGATGTAACTAGCCTTTATTCCTTACCAGTTTGAAAGCAAGTCCAAATGTACAGCTTGTATCTCCACCTACTGTATGTTCGGGAGGCTGCTGGAGCTTTGAGCTGCTTTCAAAGCGTACAAGGCAAGTGAGGTTCTTGGGTGATGGATTTCTGTAGTGTTCTTTTATTTTTACCCATTTCACATGTGTTATCCTAGTAAATCACAGCCACCGCGGGGGCATGTCACAGAGTGGAGTGTCCGCTGCCTCCTGGCTTCCTCGTGAGTGGCTCAAGCTGAGAGCTTCCTTGAGGCCCCGTGGGGCGGCACCTGCCAGGTCCTCCCCCTCAGCCTTTGTCTCTGTGCCTCTCTGTGTTGTGTGCCCTGATACCGGCCTGCCACACGCTGATCATTTAGACCTTCCTCTGCCCTGACTGTGGCCTAGAAAGGAAGGGTCCTGCCCCAAGCCCTGCTCAGTGCAAGTGGCTCACTCTTTGATCGTCAGATAGCACTACGTAAAGGGTGAACTGACCCTCCAGCTTGACGGTCAGTGGGTTTCCCTCCTCACGCCACGGGGGTGCCCGCCAGTCAGTGGTCATGATGTGCCCTCTGTGTATGAGCTCATGGAGGTTCTTTGGAACCTGCTCTTAATAAATAGGTAATGATGGCTGGGAAGCCAATGGTCTGTAACTTGGCCATCCTCTGCTCTGACCTTCTAGACTTCCTCTTCTTCCTCCTCCTCCTCCCCGCTTCAGTAAGCCGAGAATGGACTCTGCCGCATAGGTCAAGCACTGAAGTGGCCTGACCGCGCAGCCCGGGCTCCTCCTCACCGGCTCATTGATGTGAGACGAGGCCCCCTCGTCTGCCTGCTGGGCTGCGCTGTGACCAGAAAGCCCTGGGAGTCCTGGCTGGCTGGACTTGGGAGGCAGCTCCCTGTGGGCAGGGCGGTCTCCTGCTCTTTCCTTCTTGTGTTTTTTTCTCCCTTAATCTCCACTGAAGAGAGCTTTTCCGAAGTTTGAGGACTATGCACATTGCTCGTGTGTGGCGACATCTCTCCCCCAATGCTGGAGCCCCGGCCGGGGTGCCATTGTGTGCGGAGGTCAGCCCGTGGTGGGGGATGTCCCCCTCCAGGGGCTGAGCGTAGCCTCGGAATGAAGCCAGTGAGCAGGGCCAGGCCAGGGTGGTGGCCTCGGTCCCCAGCATTCAGCCTGTGTGAAGTGGGCCCGGAAGGCGCTCTGTGATCCGGGTCTCAGCTTTCTCCGCACAGCTTTCACCGCAGCCGCCCAGCTCCCGATGCTGCCCCTGAGCGGCCTTCCCGTCCCCTGCGGTGGAAGCTGTTCTTCCCCCAGAGAAGCTGTCTCCCTGCGGGACTCTCGCTGCCCTCCCCCGCCCACCCCAGAGCAGTGCTGCCTCCCTTTTTCCGGGGGCATCGCAGCACCCCCTTCTGGCCACATCCCCAGCCCTTTGCTTTGAGGCTCCTGCGGGTGAGGAAGGGCAGGGGCGCTAAGTGGCTGGAAGGCCTTTCCCGCCAGTCCTGTGCATATTGGCTCGGACTCATTCCTGACTCAGCTGTCAAAACCAAACCAGTGTGGACGCGCTGAGGAGGTGTGGTGTTTGGAATGAAATCTCAGGTGGAAACATTTTCCGATCTTTATTTTTACTTGCCAGCCAGGCTGGTGATGTGTCTCTTTGGTTATATGCAGCACATAAGATGCTGAGGTTCCTAAAGTTCCGAGTGTTAGGATTTAATCACCTGTGTGGTTCATGTGACGAGTCACCTCATTGGCAATGCTGACCCACAGGAAACCGTAAAGCGCCCTCCAGTGTAAGGTGGTGGCTCACAGCCACAGCCAGAGTAAGACGGAGCCTTCTCTGGAAACAGCCCCAGGACTGCGCGGCTTTCATTAAAACACAGTTGATGATTTGACCCTAAACCAGCGTATTGAGGAATCTTTTATGTCACGCAGCCCTGACAGAGTCATGACTTCATCACCTAACACTTTAGCTCCCGTGTTTCAAAGCGTTGCGTGGTTTTTAAGTTCAGTCCAGGATGCAGCGAAACCGTGCTGGCTGGGGTGGCCTCACAGCACGGGTCTGCTCTTCCGCCTTCTCCCCCTACGAAAGGCACATAAACGTCTGTGTGGCTTTAAGGATTTACCACCAAGTACTTTTCGTCTTTTCTCTGTTCTGGTCTTTTTCCCAGCTGTCATGAGGCCGAGTTCCTGGCCCTGTGGGAGCCCTTCCCTGAGCCACACACCCGTTCCCAGGGACTCTGCCAGTTAGATGAGAGGCTACCCGCCCTCCCCAGGGTCGCGAGGGGCTGTCCCTGCCATGTGGGGGTTGGGGGGCGGTACGGAATTCAGCAAGACTGAGTCTGCTTGCCGACCGTGAGCGGTCTGGCAGAGGGAAGTCCTGGGGAAGAGGGAACGTGAGTAATACAGCGGACTTTGGTTTTCTCCAGTTTTTTCAAACCTTTTTTTTTTCCTAAACACTCGTTGGTACAAATGGCTTATGATAGAAGAGGAGCTGCCGTTGTTGGATCAGCCCTTGGGAGCAAGAGGCCAGTTCCTTGGAAGGAGGCAGCTGAGGAGAGGCAGGCACGTTGTGTGCATGTCCTGTGGCTGCGGGACCAGTGGCCACACGCCTGCTGGCTCACACCGGACGCTCCTTCCCGCGCGGTCTGGAGGTCACGGGTCAGTGTGGGCCTCCTGGGGCCGCAGTCGGGCTGTCACAGGCGGGCTCCTCCTGGAGGCTCCGGGGGACGATCGTTTCCTGTCTGTCCTGGCCCCCAGGCCTGCCGCATCCTTGGCTCACGGCCCGTCCTCGATCCTCCAAGCCAGCAGTCGGCCGGTAGGCTCTTCTCACACTGCCTCTGTGCCCCTCCGCAGCCAGGAAGGGCGAAGTTGACGTGGGGCCACCTGATACCGCAGGATGCCCCCTGTCTAGGTGTCCTCACCTTTATCCTATCTGCGAAGTGCCTTTGCGGGTCCAGGACGCAGCCACAGGGTCTGGTGGGGTGCATCTCTCTGGCACAGCTGGCTGGTGTTGGAATATGAAACTGTCTGCAAATGGTTTCTGAAGACACACAAGGAAGAATAGTTAAGAACTTTCTGCCATTTTTTATATTAAGAGTTGAATTCATGTGTGTTTTCCCAGTGATGGATGTGTTGTTAAAGAAATAGAACTTTGGCTCATCAAAAACTACCTTGCTGTTTGAAAACCACAGACTATGGGGCGCTTGGCTGGCTCAGTTGGGCAGCCTACTTCAGTTCAGGTCATGATCTCACGGTTCGTGGGCTCAATCCCCATGTCGGGCTCTGTGCTGACAGCTCAGAGCCTGGAGCCCGTTTGAGATTCTGTGCCTCCTTCTCTCTCTGATCCTCCCCTGCTCACACTGTCTCTCTCTTTCAGAAATAAATAAAATGTTAAAAAAAATTTTTTTGAAAACCACAGGCTGTATCCGAGCCTGTCTTTCCCGGGTGGAGCAGCCCCTTCCCCTCTCTGAGTCCCTCACCCTCTTCCTCAGCCCTGAGCACTGCTGTGGGAGGCAGTTGGGCTGGTGGGGAAGCATGGCCATTCCCTCCCTGCTGTGGACTGCCACAGGTATCTGTAGTCTCGTGGACACATAATTTGAAGGGGGTGGGATACAACCCCAGGTATAAACCCCCACAGTTCACGACAGCCAGGGACCCTGCCCTCATGAACGCAAAGCCACGGATGCACTCACCCCTACCTCCCCGGCTGGCCTACAGGGCAGCGAGGTCCCAGCCCACCTGCACCAGCTTGGAGTACCAGACAGGCTGGGTGGGAACTGGGCCTGGGCGCGGGGGTGCTCATGAGTAGTGGGGTCACTCAGAGCCCATCCCCAGGGGCCTCATCTGTCCCCTCTTCTGGGCATGGTCCACAGTGGGGTGTCCCAGGGACTCCGGGTCTCCTGTCCCCTGGGGGCTCCCTTCCAACCGTCACCTCCCTCCTGATGGCAGCTCCTTACCCTGAGCTCCTCTCTGCTCCATCTGCAGCCACGGGGGGGGGCCTAACTCCGGCTTGTTTCTGCTTTGCTTCGTAACTGCCAGTGTCCACTGCCCGAGGGCTTCCTTGTGTGTCTGGCTCTTGAGCACTTTGGGGGCTCCTGGAGAGTGCGGGTCGGGGACCTGCCGCCATCTTCTGTCCCCTCCAGGCTGCCTTCAGGGTCTCCCTTCCCAAGAACCTCAGATAGCAGTGATCTCTGCAAGGTGTCCAGTGATCCTGCATCTGTCCCACATCCCATGATCCCCTTGCCCCCCTCTCGGGCACCCTCAGCCCTGTCCCTGAGCTGTGTCCAGTACGTGGGTGTTCGAGGGGTCACATGTTGCACATCTTGGTCACGATGTGCACATGCTTCATGCTCTCACACTCACGCCATACACGCGTGTTCACTTGCCTACCAGATGTTATTCCAGAGTGATTCACAAGACACATGGACCCCACAGTGTGGCCCTGGGCCATCCCCCGTGATTCACGTCATGGCAGAGTGGCACCGGTGTCCGTGCTGACGGGGGCCTGCTTGGTCTCCTCAGGTGCTGCAGGGCGCCCAGCTGATCGCCGTGGCCTCTTCCGACCCTGCTGCCGCGGGAGTGGACGGCTCACCTCTCCAGGGCAGCGACATCCAGGTCCAGTACGTCCAGCTGGCTCCGGTGACTGACCACACCGCTGCAGCTCAGGTGGGTCCCGCCCCGTGTGCAGGTGGACAGACACCCTGTCTGAGGACAGGTCCCGGGGCTTCTGCAGCTCTGGACATAGCTGGGGTGTTTCTCCTTCTGATGCCCTCCTGTGAGCAAGGCACACTGCCACGGGAGGCACGTGGTATGGACACAGGCACCGCTGCGGGACTCTGTGTTTTCTAAGTGTCTGAAGCGGTGAAGGTGAGGAGGTGGATCTCAGCCCATGTGCCGATATGAAACCAACTCTGGAGATGCTGTGTCTCCGGTAAATGTTCGTCTGTAAGCTTTTGACCCCACGGAGCCGGCCCCTGGGAACTGCAGAACGACCCAGAGGTCAGCTCCCCCGCAGACAACAGGCTCTGCCCTTGTTGCCCCAGCCCTCGGCCTTGACCCTTTCTTGGAGGCAGGTTGAGGGTCTTTACCCCAGCGGCCCCTCTGCTGGGCGGCAGAGATGCAGGATGATGTCACTTGGTCCTGAGGGCCCTGTCCGGCCTGGTTTCCAGCCTCCTGCCTGGGCGCCTTCCATGTGGCAGCCGAGGGCCTTGCGGGGAACCACACGGGCATTGGGGCCCCAGGTTCCCCTTGCTCGGTTTGTGCGTCCTCCACGCAGTTTGTGCATCCTCCACGCAGTCTGACTGGCTGAGCACTGGCTCCCCCGCTCCCATCCCCCCCTGCATCCCAGAAACCACCTGTCGTCTCCGTGCTCCCCCAGAAGCACAGGAAACAGTGTGCACACTTCCCGAGATGTCAGGTAAGGGGGCTGCTGCTTCGGTATTTGACAGGCTTGTGGAGCTGCCCCCTGGTGAGTGCACTTGGCCGGATGAACACCGTGGCCTCTCCTCAGATCTCCTGGGTCTGGGAAGCCAGGCCCGGGCCCTCCATGCCAGGGCCAAGAGCCAGCTGGAGGCCCCCTTGCGGGGACGGCATACTTTCAATCTGATGGGTCGACTGTTTGTGTGAGTAAGCTAGGACGGGTCCCAGACCGTGGGGGTCACTGGCACAAAGCTCAGGCTGTGGGTAGCCCGTGTTCTCAAACCTCGTGGGCCTTCCTGCTGAGCCCAGGCCGAGATCCACCCTGATGCAGAGACTCCCGTCTGCTCCGAGCATGGCCAGCCGGCTCCTGCCTGCCTTCTCGCACACCTGCCGTCCTCTGGGCCCACTCCTGTCCCTCTGCATCCCGGCACTGAGGAGCGACGTGTTTCTCGATGCCATGGGCCTCTAACGCTCAGAACTGAGGCCCCAGATTTCCATGGGGCCCTCTCCCCTCCCGCACTCCACTCAGGCCCCGTGCTGGTGCGGTGTATGCTCTGTCCTCGGCAGGAAGGAAGATTCTCCTTTGTTTTCCTTGCAGCCTCATGAGGTGATTGCTGAGGAATGGGATTCAGGGGGGCTAGTGAAGGTGCTCAGGGTGACCTCGTGACTGGGTGGCCAGCAGTGAACTTGGCAATCCCATGAGGACTTCAGTTCTTAATCTCCTGATTCACAGCGAGGCCCCAGCTGGCAAACGTGTTTCTTGGAGAAGCCGCTGCCTCTCCTCCTCTCTGCCCCCTGCCGGCCCCCCACCAGGCCACTCCCACGTGGCAGCCTGGGCACTCAGTCCACTTCCGGTGTGGCTTTTGTGCAGCAGTGACCACATAGGCCCACCCCACCCTGGAGATCAACCGAGAAGGGTTGGGTGTGACCAGGAGCCCACAGTATTGGGGGGACAAGGTGGAATTCTCTCTGGCCAGCTCATGGCGGGGGTCTGAGCATTAACTTGTCTGGGAAGAAAGAGCCCCTGCAGGCCCGCCTCGTCCCACGCTGGGTGGCTTGTGACATGCCCTGTGTGGTCACACATGGGTCATTGCACAAAGGCATCTCTTCTCTACTGCCCGGCAGTTGTGGAAGGGCCCAGTGTGTGCTCCAGACACGGATGCTGTGCCGAGCCGTCTCACTGAGCCGAGGTCGCGGTCATTGGACACATTTCACAGTTGAGGAACGCTGTGTCCGTTTTAGCTCTTTGCCACCTTGGCTTCCTGTCTGTGTTCTTTGTCTCCATTCCTGCCTGGCTGGTCTTGGGACCCACTGAATGAGTATGTATAAAAACAGGCCATAGGATGAGGTTCACACCCACTGGGTGTTTTCCCTGTAGAGGATCTCACCTGGCACAGACTTGAATAGTCAGCAGGTTATATAGCAGCAGGGTGGCCCCAGGCCCAGCCCACCATGCTCGTCCCTGGGGCCCACTCCTCCTGCCCCATCCTCGGGGGCTGGCTCTCCCACGGCCCCGCCACAGACAGGGCCACGTCTGCAGAAGGAAAGGGCTCCACTCTTGTAGGATTTCTTCTCAGTGTGCCAGTCAGAACAGGGCCACATACCCAGATTCGCTCCTGGAAGAGATGAGGAGCCCCCAGGAGCCCCCAGGGGCTGGAAGAGCCATCTAGCTCCCGAGGGGATGGGCTTCTCTTGGGCCGGAAGCCAGGGCGCCGGCCGCTCAGAGCAGCCAGTGGGAAGGGCAGTGAGTGCCCTGGGGCGAGCCCTGGCCTGGGACCACCTGCACAGGCAGGAGCCCGAGAACTTTCTGAATCGTCTGCTTGGAGCCCTTTCTTGACATTTCCTGCCTGAGACATGGGTCTGGTGCTATGTTTTGAGAACACAGGAGAAGGAGGGGTCCTCATCAGAGTGCGGGGGTCCCCAAGTCCCAGACACGTTCCCAACTCATCTGTGCTCCGCCTTCTGTGTGCCTGAGACCAAAGCTACCTTTCTAGTTTTTCAAGGATGGGGAGGAGCTCTCGGTCCCAGACGGGCCTCTGCCCAGCCTGTAACCAGATGTGTGGTCACCATTGCTGTGCCTCCCAGGTTCATGCTCTGGCCGCCCCACAGGCTGTGTGGCTCGTGCCCGTGCCACATCCATCGACTGCGGGCCCCTCCCTGCCTCCAGGACTCTCCGTGTGCCCTGTCCCTTGATGTTTGCATTTCAAACCTACAACCTTAGTAGTAAGAGCTGCAGTGCCAGTGCCTCGCCCGGGGCTCCTACCCACCACCGTCCACAGCTTCCTGCCTCTTCCTTCCTTCCCACCCTCACGCCTCACCTCTGCAACCAGGTTTCCTGCCAGGGCAGCCGGAAGCCCACCTCTGAGGGTCCAACCTTTGTGACATTGCCTTTGGCCGACGGCTCAGAAGAGCCTGAAGAAAACCCCAGTCAGTCTCTGTTTTGGGGCTTATTCTGGATGATTGAGATGCACGATCAGGGGCTTATTCCAAGTAGTATTTTTCCCTTTATCTTGAAACTGTGAATATAATTTAAAATCTTTTAAATATATATAGAGCATGGGTTAGAACTTCTCTGGTTAAGGAGGGAAAGGTGACTGCCCCTGAAATGTTTTTTTGGAACATTGAAACAGTTTTTATAAGAAGGTAAAATGGTGACGGAAATTCTCGGTAAATAGGATGGGTTAAGTACTCCGAAGGCATTCCCCAGTGACATGCAGAACTTCGCTGGGCCACAGAGCATGTGTGGGGAGGGTGGTGGGTGGCGTGGGTAAACAGAAGGTCCTGGAAAGAGGGGCCGTGGCCCCTGGGAGAGTCCTCTCCCAGAGCAGGGGTGAACCTAGGACTCTGGGCCCTTTCTAGCCCTGTTGTATGTGTTTATTCCATGCAAGAAAGCCGTTGGTGTTTCGCGAGTGTGGGCGGCCTGGACATGCGCTGGTAGGCCCCGTGACAGAAAGCCCTCCTCTCTCCCCTCTTGCAGACCGCAGACACCCTGCAGCCCCCCCTGCAGCCTGAGATGCAGCTGGAGCACGGGGCGATCCAGATCCAGTAGGCGGGCCGGGCCACCCTCCCGCAGCCCACCCTAAGACAGAGCTGCTGCCGTGCCCGGCACCAGCCCCCGCCGGCCACCCCGTTCTCCATGCGCCCCGGTCCCATGGCTTTGCACGGAGGTGGCTGCACATGTTCTGTTCAAGTGCATCTGAAAGCCTCACCACGGGGAGAGTGTCCCAGTCCAGAGACGAGGTGACAGGAGCCGCCGCCGCCCTGTCCCGCTGTCGGCGTCTCGGGAAGAGTGGGGCAGCACAGCGCGGAGGCGTCACGTACACGCGGAAAATCAAGAACGACGATATTTTTCTCTGTTCAGACAGCTTTTTTTTAATTTGCTATGGTGTTTATAACAAAAAAGAAAACTGAAAAAAAAAGTGAAGTAGCAGAAGCCTTTTGCTGTGTGCTCTGTTCAGTGTAACGAACATAGGTATTTGCAAAAGACGACTAACGATTTTGATGGAAATATTGCTTACCTACTTTTCTAGGGGGGAAATGCTCTGAAAACTGGTAATTATGCATTTCTAATGAAATAAAATGTATTTATGACCACAGCAGCTTTGTGTCCTTTCCTCTTGAGAGATGCTTCACCCCGAGGCTGGCCTCATATTGGGAAGTCACACGATAGGCCCTTTCAGCCATGCTGACACTGGATGTAGGGTCCGAAAGGAAGGGCTGTGGCTATTTCTTCTGGTCCCGTGTAATAGGGCCTGGGACTGGCTCTACCAGATGCCACGTGCTGTGCCGCGGCATGCTGCATCTCGAACACGGTGCCCCTCAGGACAGTGAGCCTGTCTCTACTGCAGGAGCTCCCGCAAGCAGGCTGTGCTGGTGATGACACAGGCCGTTCCCAGCTGCACAGAGTTACTGCTCTGGGGATCCTTAGGGAAGCTGCCATCCAAAGAAACACGCCTTATCATCTCTATTTAAGAAGAAAGATAGTTCCAGACAAGTCCCAGTGGTGGTTTGTGAGACATGTCCCCAGCAGTGGTCTGGCCTGCTCGGTCCACTCCCTTCTCGCGGCTACCTTGGCTGTCTGGGAGATTCCCACCAGGAAGTTGTATTCACCAACTTAGACATGCTCCTCTTTGCCATCTCAAACAATTGGTATCTCCCACGGCACCCTGTTGTGGGGTGCTGTGCCGGATGGTTCAGCCCAGCACGTGCTAAGGGGCGAAGGCAGGCTAGGGGAGCAGCTCCCGAGAGTGGGATGGCACCTCTGCGTCCCATGCCTCCATCCACCCTCCAGGGACCAGCACTCTGGGATGAGGACAGTCCCTTGGGAGAGGCCATCCTCCCGCAGATGGAAATGGGAAAAAGGACCGGCTCCCCAAGGCTGGGGGACGATCCCATCCACGTGTCTGGAATCCCGGAAGGAGGTAGTAGAAGGAAGATGACATTTACAGGATTCCAGACACAGAGCAGAGCCCAAGCAGAAGTAAAAGTAAGATCATGCCTGGACACCCACACATCGTTAAAGGCAAAAGCTCACTCTGAAAGCAGCCAGAGAGAAGGGACATCCCCCCGCAGCAGCAGCACGGGCCAGCCCCTAACGCCCGCTGGAAGTCAGGAGCACAGGCTGCTGCCAGCAAGGCACCGAAAGAAATGGAGTGTTCACGAAAACTGAATGTTGTTCAGGAATAATGGGGACAGTCGCCATCGGACCCAGCATGTCCATGTAGGTGTGCGTTGTACATACACCCAAGAGAACTGGAAGCATATGTCCACACATAAACATGTTCCCAAATGGTCGTTGTGGCATTACTGTTAATGGCCAAAGAGTAGACACAGCCACGTGTCTGTAACAGGTGAACGGGTAAACTGAATGGGATCTGGCCACACACAAAAGGAATACTATTTGGCCATTAAAAGGAATGAAGGTCGGATATGGGTTTTAACACAGATGAGCCTCAAAACCATCTTCCTGAGTGAAAGAAGCCAGAAGACCACACGTTACGTGATCCTGTTTCTGTGAACTGTTCCTAATAGGCCAGTCTGTGGAGGCAGCGAGCAGAGGCAGATCCCTGGGTGCAGGGGCCACGTGAGGGAGAGACGGGAATGGCTGCTAGTGGGGGCGGGCTTTTGTGCAAGGTGATGAGAAGGTTTTGGAATTCAGTGGTGATGTTGGCCCAGCTCTGTAAATACACCAGAAATCCTTGAAATATACACTTAAAAGTGTGAAATATTTGGCCTATCAATTATATCTCAAAGCTATTAAAGAGTTGGATAACATTTTAAAAACCTTTTATGAACAAAACAACGATGTTACCTGTAGATGATCCCTCCCATAAAGGAAATTGCAAGGAATTTTTTTCAAGAGCAGGAGTATAGATCCAGGAAGAGGTTTTAAATGAAGACAGAAGGGTGAACAAATAGAATAATAAACACCGATAACGTCTAAGTGCTGTGCCTAAAACCGTCTCACGTTGAAATTTTCAAACAATAAAATATTGGAAAACATTGCCTTGTAAGTTGGGACAGGCAGGAAGGAGCTAAATTGTTTTAAAGCCCCTTTTTATTGCCCTGGAGAAAAAGGATCAAGATGCTGTACAATGTTAAGGTGTCAGGTTTAATATCCTTGACAAACATTTAAGAAAGGCAGTAGAGGAATTGTTAGGTGTAGGATATCTGAACAACGTGATGAAGAAACTCCGCCCAGCTGACGGGCGCTCAGTCAGCCCGCGTCCCAGATCATAAAGAAGGTCTCTCCGGAGCCCAGAGGACTGGGACTCCCGAAGCCTGCACTCTCTTACCGCGTGGGATCAAGTTAAAAATTACTGAGAGAAAAGGAGTATGTGTGCAAATGTTTGCAGACTAAGTAGTGTAACTTTTTTTTTTTAATTTTTTTTAATGAATTATTTCTAGGAGAGAGAGAGAGACAGCGTGAGCAGGGGAGGGTCAGAGAGAGAGGGAGTCACAGACTGAAACAGGCTCCAGGCTCTGAGCTGGCAGTCAGCACAGAGCCCGACGCGGGGCTCGAACCCACGAACCGCGAGATCATGACCTAAGCGAAAGTCGGACGCTTAACCGACTAAGCCACCCAGGCGCCCCAAAGTAGTGTAACTTTTAAAGTAACCCGTGGGTCAAATAAATAGAAATGGAAAGATATTTTTAATTACCAATTACCAAATTGGTAATTGTCCATTAAAAATGACAGACCGACATATCGAAACTTGTGGAGTACATTGAAAGTTGGGAATTGTTTTAGAAAAAGTTTCTATTTCCTTCAGATATATTCCCCCAAACTGGGACTCCTGGGTCTTAGGATAATTTCATTTCTGGTTTTTTGAGGAACCCCCATACTGCTTTCCTTAGTGGCTGCACCGGCTTGCAGTCCCACCCGCAGAGCACAAGGGCACCCTTTTCTCCACACCCTCACCAGCCTTGTCTCTTTGATGATGGCCCCTGCTCATGCTGTCTCTCGCTCGCTCACTCTCAATAAACTTTAAGAAAAAAGGAAAATAAAAGCCTGTTTGGACAGCATGCACTTGAGTCCTGGTTTCTTATCCACTCATCTAGTCTCTGCCTTTTTGATTGGATAATTTAATCAATAGATACTTAAAGTAATTATTCTAAGAATTACTAGTGCCGTTTCATTCATAGTTTCCACGGTCTTGCGGTTTCCTTCTTCCTTCCTTTCTTACTGTCTTCCTTTGCGGAGTGGTCATTTTCTGAAGGGCTGTGCTTTGACGCCATTTCCTCCATCTTTTGTGTATCCTGGGGTTTTGCTTTGCTGTTCCCATGAGGGTAACTTAACATTTTATAATAGTCTTTTTAGGGGCACCTGGGCGGCTCAGTCGGTTAAACATCCAACTTCCGCTCAGGTCATGATCTCATGGTTCGTGGGGTCAAGCCCCATGTCAGGCTCTGTGCTGACAGCTCAGAGCCTGGAGCCTTGTTTGGATTCTGTGTCTCCCTCTCTCTGCCCCTCACTTGCTCACACTATCTCTGAAAAATAAATAAAACGTTAAAAAAACATTCTTGAATGAAAAATAGTCTTTATAAAGCTGATAACCTCAAACACATGACACATTATTATAGCTATTTTTAATACTTATGTCATTTAACTTTCACGTTAGTGTTAGTGATGAGCACATCAACCTGCGCATATTAGAGTGTTCTGAACTTGACTACGCCCTCACCTGCCTCAGCGGCTTCTGTACGTCGGTCTGTTTTCGGGTCACTAACCAGCGTCCTTGTATCTCAGCACTTCCTGTAAGGCAGGCGTGGTGATGCCTGCCCCCACGTGTCTTCTCCGGGACGACGTGATCTCCCTCGTTTCCGAGGGACACCTCTGCTGGGTGTTCTGGTTGGCAGCTGTTTTCTTCCAGCCTTTCGCACGCATCAGCCCACTGGCGTCTGGCATTCTTCGTTTCCGCAGAGAGCCTCTGTGGGCCCCAGCGTGCAAGCGATTGATCTCCTCTTGCTGCTTTTACAAAACTCTCTTTCCCCTGTGATTTTAGAGAGTCATCGTATTACTGTGTATCCTGGAGAAGGCAGCTTGGGGTTGAAGTCTGGGGCAGTGGGGGAGAGGGGTTCGAGCTTCTTGAACTTGTATTTTTTGAGCCGACTCCAGGGACTCCAGCAGCGTGCACGTTGTATCTCTGGACATTCCCCTGTGGCTCATGTTGGGTTTCTTCCTGCGTCTTCATCCCCCTTCCTGTTTGTTCCCCTTGCTGGATGCTTCACGGGACATGCCTTCTGGTTCACCGCCACCTCCTCTGTCGGACCTGCCTGCGTCCCATCTCTGCTGACTCTTTTAGTCACCGTATTCTTCAACCTCGGGGTTTCTGGGTTTTATTTATTTTTTTATTATTTTTTAAATAATGTTTTTATTTATTTTTGAGAGAGCGAGACCGAGCATGGGGGTGGGGGGTGCAGAGAGGGAGACAGAGAATCTGAAGCAGCTCCAGGCTCCGAGCTGTCAGCACAGAGCCCGACGCGGGGCTCGAACCCATGAACCGTGAGATCATGACCTGAGCTGAAGTCACACCCTTAGCTGACTGAGCCTCCCAGGCGCCCTAGGGTTTCTGGTTTTTAAAAAAATGTTTTCTATTTCTTTTCTGAACTCCATTCTCGTTTTGTTCACACATTGTCTCTTCATGATATTCAGTTGTCTGTGTTTTCTTGTAGTTTATTGAATTTCTTTAACAGGATTATTCTGAATTCTTTTCAGATGTTTCATCGATCTCCCCTTCTTTGGGGTCATTGTTGTTTTATCGGTTTCCTTTTGAGGTGTTAGGTTTCCTTGACGATCGTGAACCTGTGGCCCTGTGCTGGCATCTGGACGTTTGAAGAAGTGGGCGCCCTTCCCATCTGTACAGACGGGCTCTAGCAGGGAAGCCTTCACAGGCGGCCCGTCCAGGACCCGGCGTGAGCCACCTGGCGGGTTGTGGTGGGCTTGCCACTAGGGTCCTCAGGCGGATGGCCTGGTGCCTGGGGCTGCAGGGCCAGGTCTGACCCTTAGTTCACGTGTGCCAGCGCTGGAGTCTGCAGGGCATTCGGGCGCCCAGTGGATGCCCCGCTTCTGGGGAGCACGTCAGTCTCGGTGCCG